GTATAATGTATGAGTGTTGTTGAAAGAAGTTTTTAGACCGAATTTATTGAGTGTGGAGGCTATTTTTAGAGAAAGCACACATTTTAAAACGAAAGACGAATTTTAACGTGCTTGTCGGTTTTATCAATGTGACAGTTGTGTACTAAGTGCAAAATTTGGCATGCTAAAATCAAATTGGTCTCTATTCATTGAATTAGAAATTACATTATTTTGAGAAGAATTTGACTGTTCTCAGATCATTCTGTTGATAAACTTGCATATAACCACTTGCCAGAAAAATTTCAATTTAGTATTTCATTTTCTGTCAAGTGATATTCCCAGCATATTTTTTCTAAGAAGCATATCTATTCGACTCTACAACAAATTGATGAACGAGATTATCATACAAAATGGAAAAGAATTCTTCCGCCGATAACATATCTTGTTCAAATGTCTCAAAAAAATTCCAAGTGCTAGTGGTCATGGGGTGCTATGGTTCTGTCCATGTGTGCAGTTTCTTTTCATCCTACGATGCTTAGTCTTTGAATCTTCTCCAACATGCTCCTCCTCCTAGCTGTCATCATCCTTTCACCATTTCTGCTTACGACCGCAACTGACTTCCTGAAACGTTATTTTTATTATCAATGTCTTTCTCACCTGAATCTTCATTCCTGACTTCCTCACACACCTTTTCCGGAGGTTACATAATGGTCTACTTTCCCAGACCCTTCGTCATTACATTAAGTACATAGTACGGAGAAAAGTAAAGCTAATGGTACAAAAAGAAGACATTCTTGTATTATTTCTAACATCTTGCATAATTTCCAAAAATTCAGAAACTTCAACGAATATAAGTCCTGTGTCCTTTTTAAGTGCCCTATCCGAGGAACCAATTTAAAGGAAGAATTTCGATCCCACAGCAGGACCCTAAAAGACGAGTTTGTTGCCGAAAATTCGCCGTTTTTAAACCACAGAGACGATTTTAGAATCTAGAATTGATATTCCGAAACTCAAGGACTGGCCAAACTCGAGACCTTGGGAATTTGAAACGTTTTACTTTGATTTTGGGGCTACTTTTCATGAAGCCTTAAAACCACGTTCAAACTCTTCTAAAAAATGTATCCTGCTTAATAACTAGGTCGAATTCAGCCTCTGTCCAGAGGAGAATTCTAGGGTCCGCTCGCTCTGATTGGTAGTTTCTCGTGATGTCTCCAATCAAAACGAGGCCGGGGAAGTACTCTAACAACGGACTAACTAACACGGACTGCGAGAGATTTGTCCTTCTCTTCCTTCTTTTATCATCTCCCCACCCGCACTACATTTATACTTACACTACACTATGCCGTAGATGAAGGGTGACCAGTGAGGAGCTTAGAGGTGACCCATCTGGGGGCATTGCCCCGCTGGGAGAAATCCCTGAAGAAGAATTTTGTTCCGGCGAAAAAACATAATAATTAGATAACACGAATTTTTATAACAGGAATGCCGATTATTACGGTTTCTTCGATTGTTCTGGTCAACAATAGATTACTGAAAATGTAGTTCTAGGAAGATGTCAAAAAAAGTTTAACTATTACAATTTTCAAAACTTTAAAATTCAACAAAAATCGGATCTAAGCTATTTTTAGAATCATGCTATATTCCAGCAAAACGTATGAAAATAATTGGAGCCATTTTTGACAAAAATTCGAAAAGTTACCAACTTCATGTAACGTATCCCCAATATTAAATATCCATATCATATTCAATGGACAAGTACTTTAAAGAAAATAAAAGGGAAAAGTCAGGCGAGATAGAATGAATAATCAACATATAAAGAATGAATGTGGAGTGGCGAACGTAGTTAAACACATAAGAACAAGAAGAAAAGTTGGGTTGAAAAAGTTTTCAGGTCAGATAATTGTAGATTGATTACAACAGCAGGAGATTCAAGACCCTTTAGGGATCTATGACCCTAAGCGGGATCTATGAAGACTTATCAAAAGATGGACCGAAAGCTGAGCAACTAATTACATCTCGCGATTCATCATGAAAATGAAGTGTGAAGAATAACAGCTTTTACCTACAAGAAGAAGAAGAAGAAAAAGAAATTCAACGAGTACCATCAACCCGGGAAATATTTAATTTCAAGAATTAATTTCTGAATATTTATATTCATAAAATATTTCCCTTTTGCTGTAGGATAAGACGCAAACGTTGTTCACAAAAAGACGTTTCGCCGTAAACCAATTTTTCAGTATCAATGACCCAGAAAATACTTATTCGGATTACACTATGTATTAGGGAAAGTAATCTATTAGATGTAAAACCAGAGGAGTTATTTTTATATTTGGGGTGAAGTTGCACGATCCAATTGAGGGTGTTTTGCCGAGACCGTCAGGTCCAGACGACTTTCGCGGCGTTTGCGACTGTTACGCATCCACATTAAGATGGTTCTCCAGACGAACAGCAGTGTTATTTGACATCAAATGAAGTAGCGGAATTTCTGAAGAATCCACTCGATTTAGTACTATTAGTTTGTCGGGTGTCAATGTGGGAAACAATTGTGCAAACTCAGTGGCGACTGGTACCTTTAATTAATGGGGGGCTGCATGCAAAAATAGAAAATGAATTGAGATATGTTCAGTACCGGTGTAGGTCTACCTCGAGCATTTATATCGCACTTCTTGAAGAGTTAAGCATCTAAATTTCACAGTTTTTAAAAATTGAACAGAATTACTATTTGTATTCTAAACACGAACTAGTGGTGCTACAACAGCACATACTTTCGCACTCATATTTCACGCAAAATTACGCTAAAAGTACTCAGATTTTCGAAAAATTGTATATGTGTTGTAACGTAAAAAATATAGTTAGTAAAAAGTAAAGTAACGTAAAAAGTTTTAATGTTTCAGATCATCCCTTTTCTATATGAACGAAACAGTATATCTTTGTAGAAGAGTTTAGTACATCGATTTTTAGAATATGACTTTACATTCAAGAACTTTGGATTGAAAATATTATACAATCCATTTCTTACACATTTAAGATTGAATTACTGTCTCTGGTGAAATGATTTTAAAAGTATTTCTGAAGCAATGCTATTTCTTTCTCCATTTTGTGTGTTCGTCGCTGAAATTTGTGACGAACAAAAATTACATTTTCCTTTTATAATGTAATCCTACCCTAGTTCAATAGGAATACTGAGAAAATGTTGGTTGAAGGAAACAATGCGATCCGAGGGATAACACAATCTGTGGGGACCTGCCGCGAAGCGACTGTGGCGGAGGAGCAAGGCGGCAGGGCAGCGGGAAAGTGAAAGAGGCGCGGAGAGAAATGGAGCAGGGAAGAAGAGTCGGCGAAGCGGAGGGAAGAGAGAGGCGCGCGGGGGCCGAAATTGAGTGATGGAGGAGCCGCGAGGAACCTTGTGCGGATTGGATTTGCGATGCTCCGACCGGCGGCCGGGCAGGTTACTCTAAGCCAGCTCACCCGCCCCACCCCAGGCTTTTTCCTGCCCGCGACCTCCTCCCGCATTGAGCCTTCCCCATCTCAGCCCTCCCCCCCCGCCCCGAGACTCTTTTCTCCGACCGAGCAACTTAGCCTAGCGCACTGACCATCACAGACTGTTGCCTTTGCTAGCACACATGCGCATCGTCCCAATTTTCCGTTTAAGTTTTTCTTCAGTCGCGCGCCGGGAATAGCTGACAGCTAAGCCTAATAATGTCGCGAGAATACATTTAGGGAAAGCGTAAATGTAGTAATATTGAATAGATTCAGTTAGTGATAGAAATAATTCTTGTATATTCAGATGTAATATCGTGTGAGGATAGAAAAAAATAGAAAAAAAAAGACCAAAAGGATCGCTGCCACCTAGCTGTACCCAGCCTGTTTTGCAGTTTTCATATTTTCCGACCAGATTGTGAACATTTATGAGTGATCTATGAGTTGCTTAGTCGAGACCCACTGAGGATGGGAAAAGTGTTTCCCGAAAGTTAACACTGGGCAATAATCAATAAATTATTAAACCGTTTTGTGGATCATATGGATTACCACAAGATATCTGCTACCACCACGGAATTTGAGGATAGAACGTTTTGACGTGCTAAACGAAAGGCTGAACAAAACGTTTTGAAACGCAATAGCAGATTGATTTTCTGAGTTGAAGTTTCTTTAATCCCCACACTCGCATACGTTGGCTCGGTCTGTACAAAAAATGAAATATGCAGTATATCTGAAATTAGTTAACATGAAGTTTCAGATTTCATTAACTTCTTATTTCAAGAGGAAGAAATAAGGACTATATTTTATGTCGCAATATGGGAATATCAAAATTCGATTAATAGAATGTTTCACAATTAGCTTATATTAAAAGCTACCTTACAGCAAACCTGAAAAAATAAAAATAAAATGAAAAGGCAATGAGGTAGGGCAGCTTTCTTTGTCGATACTTAAGGAACAAGTACATGCTTGAGAAATAAGGAGTTCCTGAAAATGGGAGGTCACTTGGGAAAATGGGAGGAAAATGGAGGCTTGTATTTCATAGACGTCTCTTAAGGGAGCAGAAATGAGTGTTTCTGAATGTATCGGAAAAGTAACAACGTTGCATTTTCGTCAACTAATCCAGTGTTTACCAGTGGTTTCCGTCGTTTGTTGGCCGTTGACTGTAACAGTTTTCGTTGGGACTTGTGTGTTTTGTTGTTGAATTTACTTTAAATGCAATTTTACAAGCAGGTGAGCATTTTGGCTTTTTATCTGTTCAAAATGTGAAATATGTTGATCTGAGGGAAACTGTACAACATTCATGTTACGTACCAACTTTCTGAAACTTCAGAAGTTATTCGACACACTAGCGTGACCAACTTTTTAGAGATCTCGTAGACAATCTAAAAAAAGATGTGATCTTTTTTGATGTTTTCTCCAGCACTCTGGTTTAAGATTCTCTTCTCGATTTTATCTGATTCCCATTACGTCATTTGCGTTGCTTGCGTAACAACGTTCTGAGCCTTTTTGCGTTGAATGTGGAGTAATCCTTTTTAAATATACGTCAGTAAGTCATTGCCTTTAATCTCTATCAGCCAGAGGCTCAGCGCTCGAAGTTTGTCCCAGAGGGCCAACCATTCAGGGGTCCGCGATGTCTCAAGCTGCAGCCGTGTTTTCATTGAGCGTGCTTCTTTTAAACTTGTTGCGTCTATATAGACGCAACGGGGATTCTAACTCCTTAGGGAGCGTTGAGCGCACCATGGATTAATCCTCCGTTAATTCTGTTGGAGAAATCCTCCGTTATTATGCACCCAGCACCCCCTAGGGGCCGCTGGGTAGTCAAGTCACGTCGCAGACGCAGATGAAGTCAGAGTCATCTACCTATCGGCCAGAATAACGAAGGAATAAGGAGAATATTATTTTTTATACATCAATTCAATCCTCCTCTCCTTCACTCTGGCAAACACCTCAATGACTTCAGAATTAAAATTTCATGAATAATCAGTTTTTCAACAGAAAACATATATTTTTTTAATTTATTTTCTTCCTGTTGCTTTTCAGGGATTTGTACATTTTTATTTTTAATACATAACATATCTGAACTGTTTACACACAATACTCAAATTTTACTCCTTAATAAAACTCATTTTTAAATCTAGATATACTCATAAATTATCTTTATAATGAAGTGAAACAGTTTTACATTTTTTTAAATACGTTTTAAACATATACTCTTATATTGTTTCATGAAAGAAGATCATTTATCCCATGGATAATAACGCCCGCACATATAAATAATAAGGCTTTAAATAGTGCATGAGTTCATAAATGAAAAAAAGCCAAATCATAATAACCTAACCCAATAGTTCTTATTATTAGACCCAATTGACTTAAAGTATACAAGGCAATAATCTTCTTCAAATCAAATTCAAAATTAGCACCTAAACCAGACATAAATATAGTCAAGCAACCAATAAATAATATAAAATCATTCAATGAATACATTTCAAATTATACCAAATCGAATAAGCAAATATACCCCAGCCGTAACTAAAGTAGATGAATGAACCAAAACAGAAACAGGTGTAGGAGCAGCTATAGCCGCCGGAAGCCAAGAAGAAAAAGGAATCTGAGTTTTTTTAGTTATAGCTGCTAAAATAACTAAAACAATTAAATATCACATCTCAACATCCAAATCCCCAAAATTATTTACCCATAAATAATTTCAACTACCATATCCTAGTATCCAAGCAATAGATAATAATAATGCCACATCACCAATACGGTTAGATAAAGCTTTAATCATATCAGCATTATAAGATTTTACATTCTGATAATAAATTACTAAACAATAAGAAACTAGTCCTAAACCATCCCATCCTAAAAAAATTCTAATTAAATTAGGACTAATGATTAAAAACATCATAGATAATGCAAATATTATACCAAAATAATAAAACGAGATAAATTATAATCACCTATCATATATCTATATAATAAATTACTAAAGAAGAAATATACATTACAAATCTTATAAATAATAATGATTTATAATCTAAAAGAATTCTTATAATAACATTACAAGAATTTAAAGTTACTATATTCCAATCCAAAAAAATTACACAATCATTAATACAAATAGCCAACCCCCAAAAAATATTATTATTGATATTGAAAATAAAACAACAAAAGACAATTTACAAATAAAATTATTATAGTTAATAGCCTAATATACTAATTATCATATACCTTTGATTCCACAAATCAACATTCTTATTAAACTAATAAAGCTAAATACAACTAAAAAAATAATCCCCACGTAAAATCAAAATATTTAAAGGAAATCAATGCAAAAATAACAATTAATATTCACGGAAATATCCATTCACATAACTAAATGAACCAGAAAAATTTATTCCATGTTGACTATAAGAAAACAAAAATAATCTATAAGCAGCTCCAAAAAAAGATATTAAAGCTATTAAAAACATTCCTAATCAATTTCATGATATAATTCTATTAATTAATCTAATTTTCGCTAATAAATTCAAAGAAGGAGGAGCTGCCATATTAGATGATCTTAATAAAAATCATCATAATGTTATTCTAGGTATTAAACATATTAATCCCTTATTAATAATTAATCTACGACTTCCGACTGGATATTTATTTTCATAAAGGTTTTAACAAATCTTTCGAATATCGTGAGCGTATTCTCTTGGGATTGTTTAATGTTTTACCCATTATAAATTGTATACTGGAAGAAGTAAATATTGCTCACAGTTATTTCTTATATACTCGTTTAGGGGCTCTGTTTGAAGTTCTTTTTGAATGTGTGTATTAGAAATAAAACTAGGCGCCTAAGATATCTGGGATGATTCTATTGTTGTAAGAGTATTGAGTTGATTCACTGGGTAGTTGGATATCTAAATTGTTATAAGTTATTACATGTAATTGTAATAGTTTCTACCATGTGATGAGGTTGAATTGCAACCCCACGCTGTATTCTTACTATTTAGGTCTCCTATTATAAAAACTTCCGAATGCTTCTGGAGAATATTTTTATAAATATCTTATGGGAGAGGGTAGTTAGGATTTTCAGTTTCCATTAATTCTACAGCACAGGACCAAAGAGGTGTTCTATTTTTGTTATATATCCTTGTTACGCCGATTACTGGGTACGTAAGTCTTGCTAATTTATCAAATATTTCTTTCCGAGAGTAAACTACACGTATACTACCATAAATTATAACTAAGAGCTTGGAATGATAGGGATATCTGAAAGAATGATAATGTAGATTATTTTCGTCACAAAATTTTCTTTAACCTCTGTAGTCTTCAATTGTTACAAAGTTCACTTGATAAAAATATTTTTTTGTCAAATAGTAAAGTCATTTTCGGCTACTTTTTTTAATATCACTAACTACAAGTAGATATCCTTAGCTGTGAACATTATTAAGGAATATTAGTGGAATATTTCTAGTTTTATCAAATTCAGAATTAGCACGACTATCTAAATTTCGAAGCAATTCATAGCGTTAACTTTGTGGTATGTTGTACATAATATTCTCCTCTGTTCCATGGTCAAAGCCAAACGTGTTCCTCTTGTTTGAATCGAGCACTCGTTACCGTTGAAACTCAAGCCATGTGATGAGTATTCCTGATGTTCTCCCACTGGTGAAGGCGGTAGTGGTAGCGGTGGTGGTGGTGGTGGGAAGGCGCCCACTGATGATGATGATGATGGGAACCCCTGTCCGTAGAATTCACCGCCGTTTGGATTTTCATTAATCACTTCCATTGACTGCACAATTAACCCTGAGGTTTCAAGTGGCTCCCACAAGGGGCACTATCCACATCATTTTAAAAGATAAATCGTTTGACTATGATAAGTAACTACTAATCTAAGTTCTGAAAACACTGGAGCGCGTCGGCTCGCGTTGGTCGAGAGAGCACTGACTGCCTCTACGTAAGATAAGAGCTGCCTCAACACGAAGCGTTCGTCTCGGCTGCGCGAACAGGACTGAGAAAACATCGTTTAGCCATTCAACCTCTCTGCACCCGGTAAGAAGCTTTTTATTATCTTTAGAATGAAAAAAAAGCGTTCATTTTCCACAATGGTCATTGACATGGTGATAATTATTTTCAAAACATGGGTACACTAAGAAAAAGTACGGAACATGTTGTTTTCTAAAAAAATTTTAAAATATGTCAGCACTTTAAATTGAAATCACTTGAAATCTCTCACTAGTTTCTCACGTTAACACCAGCTGATTGAGAAGATAAAATAATTCAAGAGGAAACAACAACACACGCTAAGAAAAATATTCACACAGAATTCATAGCTGCAGATAATATCAAGATTACCAGCGCCATGATCTAATCAGCATTTCATTTCTCAGACACTACGAGCGTTGTTTGTACAGCTGTTAAGTGGCGCTTGCAGTGGCAGTCACAAAACGCTTGTGACCCTGAAGCTTTGCTAAACGGGAGGGAGCGGGTCACAAGAAGCTAGTGGACTTCGTCCTATTTCCACAACTACCTCATCAGCGCTATGAAATAGTATCAATATCGCCCATGAATACCTTAACGTAAATTCTCTAGAAATATCATTCGATGACACGATACGCATTTCGATCACATTAATACACTATGCGATCAAAAGTATATTATGGTGTGGTCGTGTTTAATGGAGGAGCTTGCACCCCTTGTTGTTTTGTGTGGCACTACCATGGCACAGACCTTCGTTGATGTTTTAAATACCTTCTTGCTTCCCACTGTTGAAGAGCAATACGGGGATGGCGTTGCATCTTTCATTACGATCGAGCACCTGTTCATACTGCACGGCCTGTGGCAGAGTTGTTACACCACAATAACATCCCTGTAATGAACTGGCCTGCACAGAGTCCTCACTTGAATCTTATCGAACACCTTTGGGATGTTTTGGAATGCCGACCTTGTGTTAGGCGTCACTGACCTACATCGATACCTCTCCTCAGTGCAGCACTTCGTGAAGAATGGGCTGCCATTCCCCAAGAAACCTTCCAGCTCCTGATTAAAGTGTGCCTTTCAGAGTGGAAACTGCTATCAAGGCTAAGGGTGGGCCAACACCCTACTGAATTCCAGTATTACCGATGGAGGGCACCCCGAACTGGCAAGTCATTTTCAGCCACGTGTCCGGAATTCTTTTAATCACAAAATGTAGTTTCCTTTACGGGAGGGAGAGCACGGGACCATGTGACCTTATAGTAGATCCGCAATTGGTCTTCCATGAAAAGCGGCCTTGCTGTGTCATCGACATTCAGTCGATACGTCGATCTTCGAACGTGTGTGTAACTTGCTCGTAGAACTATTAGTACGGACGACGCCAGTCGTTGCCTCATTAAACTCACAGTGGACCCACTCAGACGCAGGCACTCGCCCCTTTCGTAACTAAGATGTGAAACAGAAGGTCATACCGATATTGCCAAAGACAGACGTAAAAAGGTGAGATATAGTCGAGAAACTGGTATAAAGTGTTGTTCAGCAAAATTACACAAGGAAAATTTGTTCCTGTAATTTGGTTGGACGAACGCAGTTTGTTTCTTTTATATCGGTAATCGCTCATCGATGCATGTCGAAATCATGACAAGAAATAAAATAAACGTTTACGTGGTAAAAATACAAGAAGTACATACAAAAAATAGACAATCTGAAGGTAAATTACATAATTAAACTTCCACAATTATTTGGATTTCGAAAATCATATTTTACATTACCGTCCGTCTCTTTGAAACGAAATAAGTTAAAATTCATTTTACAGAAGCAGATTAAAATACTTTCTCTATTTTTGTCTTTAGTGCGCAGGACGCTTACCCGGACCACTCTAATGTGAAGCTGGCATTGTACTGCATTCGCCCGCAGCATTTGTGAACTGGTAATGGTAAGTATTCTTATTGTTTACTCATGTAGCAGTTTAACAGTCGCTATGACAAAATTGCGGCGATACCAGTTAATATTCCTATGCTGGTTGATTGAAGATATTTTCTACAATGCAATCGAGACATTAATACATTTCTAGTGGGGCGATAAAATGAATAATAATATATAATACGGTGTCTACAAATGTATTAACGTTCGTTGCAAATTGATACACAAAGAAGCAGGTCTGAACTATAATAGAAATATTGACTTCAAAATAGACGTAATGGCGGGATAAAGGTGTCTCGTTTGAAGATTTAATATTGGTGACCAGTAATGTACGAATAAGACTCAAGTCAATACGTTTTTTTTTTGTTTTTTTTTTAGTTTTGTAATCAATACATATCTTGTTTAGAAATATGCACCGCATATTCAAAACATGCGACGAAATAATTAATAATTCACGTGTAATTTTCTCGTAAAATTATTCTAGAAAATGATACTACTTTCCTCTTTTATTTCTTGTCGTTGGATGTAGGCAAGATACAGGAAGGTTGGAGGAAAGCAATAGATGCAAGAATTTCATCATGCATGTCGCCCAGACCCATGATCAATTTTTCGAGCAGCTGTGGGCTTGCGGCACCCAGCGGGACGGGACGGGGAGGGGCGGAGCGTGGCCGAGCGGAAAGGGGTCGGGCGGCGAAGGCAGGGTGAGTACGGATGGGAAGGGGAGGGGGCGCTGCGGAGGCGAGAGGCAGAGGATGTTCATTAGCGTGTCATGGATTGCGCGAAAGCCCGTCTGAGGCGCGCGCCCGCTCTAATAGGGTTGGCGGGCTGACAGTTGCGGCATCTCTAATGGACTGAAGGCGAAATTTGATTCGCTATGATGGCAGTAGAAAGGAAAGTTGTGACCCATCGTGTCTTTCATAACGGTGAAAACCAGAGACCGAACATACTGGGCACATTTTTGGATTATTTTCTTCCGGAACAAAATATACGTAAAACTTGGCAATATGATTGACAACCTCAAACAGTATTTTGAAGTGAGGTAACAAAAAGTAATGTGTAATTTTTTTGGAAATGGAGCATTACAACCTATTTTAGATTTAAAATAGTAAGACCTCATCGATATCAAGTGAATAAGTCATATCACAATGGTAATTAAAATACAGCTATATATCACCTCTGCCCACCGGCATTAAGCGTATGAAGCGAACAATCGAAGCGAAACATTGTAGACCTCTATTTTCAGAATACTTGTGTACGGAGAGCAAATGAAATGTGTGCAAAAATGAGGGTGGTTATGAGATGCTATGTTCTAATAAACAATTAAATATCTCGAGAACGGAAGTTGATATCACCGATCGGATTGCGGATTTTTTTATTGCGTTTAAAGGGGATTTAGAGGAGACACTAAAACTTGCAGCATTTTAAATTTATAAACAATTTACAATTAAATAAAACGATTTAAAGAGGGGAGAATCTCCCGATGTCTCAGAGCCGAAACCCGCGAATTAAAAATTTTGCAACAATTTACAATTCCATAAACAAATTCGAAATATGCGCTAGCCACTGCTTGATTGCTAAAAATAGTATAATTCTTGCTAAAGTGCTAAATATTTACTGCCTGTTGTGCCTGAGATGAACATTTCAATATAACAGTTTGAAAGAGTTACAAATTAATAGCTAAAAGAGAGTATAATGGTTGAAAAATGCTAAATATGTACTTAAGAATAATTATGTTTCTGTCTATTAACAGTAATTCTGAACGGACAATCCCAGGTCAGAAATATTTTTTTCCGTTATGGCGAACGCGCAGGTAAAATCACTCCTTCGGCAGGGAAAGATAATGATATGTCCCCTAATACGTTAACAATCAACCCTTGCAGGGGAACAGCGTCTTTCCCGCCCCCAAGGATTTGGCGCCAATCACATCAATCACATAGGCACTAAGGTTAAGACTGCGAGAGATTGGTGAACGCGCTCTTCCCCCAAATCGAAGAGTGTTCAAATTTGTCTGGACGATTGGGAAAATGGAATTTCACCCGCCAGTTATTGTGGGGGACCTTTACGTATATACGGAGTATTATACGTAGTATAGGAAAAGTATTGTAATCCTGCGGAAATTCTTTTCGAGATTTTTACAGAAATACATGTTTTGGAGTCCCCCGACGCCTGTCTGTCCGTCTGTCCGCCTCTCTGTCTGCCCGTCCGTCTGTCCGTCTGTCCGTCTGTTCGTCTGACTGTCCGTCTGTCCGTCTGTTTGTCTGACTGTCCGTCTCTCCGTTTGTCAATACAACTAGCTCCTAAACCAAACGTAGGATTTTTTGCAAAGTGAAAAAACCCCAGTTGATCTGGCTCGTGTCGAATCTTTGAGATTATGAAAAACATTCTTTAAAATATTACGTAAATTCCATGTAAATATATTGCATAAAGAATGACGGCAATTTTCAATTTTTTATTTATTTATTTATTTATTTATTTATTTATTTATTGCAAAAATAGAGTAACAGCCACTTATAAAGGTGGCGTAGGCACGATTTTCTCCCCGTAAGCTTGAGTCAAAACTTTCAGATTTTGAAAAACATTCTTCAAAATTTGGGGTTCCTTTTCATGAAGCCCTCCAAATACTACATTTTTCCTAAACGTTTTACAGGGATTGCCTAAATGCATTCTCTAAGATAACGGAAATGCCATATTGCTGAGTTTTTTAGCCTTTTCAAACATTACAAATTTTTTTTGACTTGAATCTCACGTCGTTAACATTTATATTAGCAGCAATTTGTTCACATTTTTTATATTTATGAGTACATGTGCTTTAAAAAATGTCAAATAAAGTGTCTCGAAAACTCAACAATTATCTGTGAAAACTAGCTAAAAATTCCACATTTTTAGAAATGC